ATAAAAAACAACAAACAAAATACAGGGCCCAGTCTATTACGTATATGCAGCATAATAAGGAAATTAGCTATATTACAATCCACGGAATCTCATATTATTAAGCTCTCAGCATACATCATGGCAGCAAAAGGAATCAGCTTCTGGTCACTCCTAAAATAAAATGTTTCCAGATTCTTGAACTATCCTCAACAAAAATAGGGATACTATTGCTGATACTTGGACATGCAGAATTGGGATAAACAGGAGTTAATACCAGAGAGTTGACACTTAATCACTCTAACTTCAAAAATAAAAAGTATGTGCAGTTTTACCTTGTCCTTATTGCTACAAAGTAAGCAATCAACTAAGGCCGCTTCTTTAATTTCTCTAGAAAATCCTGAAGATACATTGTTCTATTTCATGATTCATGGCAGGCTATAGAGTTTACTTAACATGTATTTCAGGTTATACTACTTTTCCAATTCCTTATTCTAGAAATATCACTGATTATATTTTCAAGCCTATCAAATGAACAGCTCATCATAGGTTCACATAGTAAGATATGTGAACTAAAATAAATCTCTCTTTTTTTTTAAAGACTAGTCAGGTGCAGTAGTGAGGAGGGGAGAAAGTAGTAGAAAAAGGACTTCAATCTGTAACTGACTGTGAACAATCAAGTGAGGTAACTCACTATCTGCGGACCAGCCTAAAATAAAATCTTAAGGCTCCCCGCAATCGGCTGACTGAACCCCTCTTGGCCAAGGGTATATCCTAAAACTAAATTGCCTGCCACGAGAGGAGGGAGGTCAGACATGCCTCATCATGCCCCCTACCTCCTTCTCAGAGATATGTTTTGTAACCCATTAACAGGCCTAATGGTATGCAAGACAAACCTACAGGTCCTCAATTTACCTAACAAATATATGCCCGTTGTTTTGCCTCTGATTAATAGACAGAGCTCCTTATCTTAAAACATTCCGGCCGGGCGCGGTGGCTCACGCCTGTAATCCTAGCTCTCTGGGAGGCCGAGGCTGGCAGATTGTTTGAGCTCAGGAGTTTGAGACCAGCCTGAGCAAGAGCGAGACCCCGCCTCTACTAAAATTAGAAAGAAATTAATCGACCAACTAAAAATATATAGAAAAAATTAGCCGGGCATGGTGGCACATGCCTGTAGTCCCAGCTACTCGGGAGGCTGAGGCAGGAGGATTGCTTGAGCCAGGAGTTTGAGGTTGCTGTGAGCTAGGCTGACGCCATGGCACTCACTCTATCCAGGGCAACAGAGTGAGACTCTGTCTCAAAAAAAAAAAAAAAAAAAAAAAAAAAAAAAAAACATTCCAAGCCTTTTGACAAAGCTTCAAGTCTTTAACCAATAACAAGTCAAAGAATCTTTAAACCCACCTATAACCTGTAGGACCCCCACCCCATGCTTTGAGGTTGCCCACCTTTTCGGGCCAAACCAATGTATGCCTTCCATGTATTGATTTATGACTTTACCTGTAACCTCTGTCTCCCTGGAATGTATAAAACCAAACTGTAACCCAACCACAACAAGTCCACTTGCTCAAGGCTTCTTGGGCGTGGCTCCGCATCATAGTCCTCAAATTTGGCTCAGAATAAATCTCTTTAAAATTATTTTACAGAGTTTGGCTTCTTTTCCATTGACAGATATTAATAAAAGTTAGAAACAGTGACAACGTCTCAATATTGCCTCGCTTTATGAAACATGCATCTTGGCAAAGTCAGCTATAGTATAAATCTACAAAGTGAGTCATCTTTTACCCTTGGTAAAAATCTGAGCTGCATCCCATACCTGAAAATGCCAAGCGCTCAGTTGAAAAGTTTTAAAATTATAAAGACTTAGTAAAGCTGTTGGCCAGCTGTGCAGCAGGCAGGCTGGATATTATATTAAGGCACATCAACCTGCGGAGACTAAAGTCCTTTGGGGTTCTTGTTCCCCTTAGAGCACTTTAAGAACTTTCCACCTTTTGGAATTTTCCAAATGTTGAACTTCTCACCTGCCCTGGTATCCACTATGCCCCAGCTCTAAATGCATACTTTCCAAAACCTGGCTCCCTTCCTCCTCTTCTTAGCTGGGCATATATATTTAATTGGGCAAGACAGGCATTTCATATTTTGTCACTATGTCCTCCTCTCTAGTTCATGGCAAACAATGATATAAAAATCATCATTTTTTAGTTTTTAGTTTAAAACTTTAGTTTAAAGCTGCAACAACCACAGTCACTTCATTTTTAAGGTTTAAAAGTTTGTATATCATGCAAAGACTATCCGTTGAGATGTTTACATATTTCCTGATTTCAAGATTATTCCTCTCATGGTTGCTTAGCACATATACTTCAGCTCTTTTTAACTTTCTGGCAAACCCCTTTCTTTCTATTTTCCAATCATGAACACTTTAATAGTACTATTCATTCATTCAACACTCATTCAAAAAATATTTATTTATCACCTACTGTGTGTCAGGTGCTATTGTAAAGTGCTGGGAAGCCAAAAATGAACAAAACAGACAAACAGCCCTGCCCTCAAGAAGTTAGTTACACTACAGGGAGGCAGACAACAATAAAGAAAAATACGAAAAATATATAGTATGTTAGGTGGTAGTAAGTTCTAAAGAGTAAAATAAAGCAGGAAAGGGGAGCAAGAACTATTGAAGGTGGGGTGCAGTTTTAGATATTTTATAAACATTGTGACAACACCATCAAGAAATATTTGTTTTGATTTCACTTCTTTTTTAAAAAAATTCTGACCCCTAAACAGATGAAAATGTGAACAGACAAGTTCCTCTTTACAGTTGCATGTATCTATTTTAACATGTATTGACTATCACCTTAATGGCTACAGGCATGGTAAACTAAAAGCTCAGAAAATTGAAGTAGCCTGATGACAACGCATATTGCAACCACACTGTTGCTTTGATGATTTTCACAGGAACTAGACATAATATATACATTTGGTAAGAGGACATTTCAAAATGATTTACTGAAATTAGTGTGTAGTATTTCCTAACATTTTTCATGGGGAAACTGAGGGCAAGGAAAACTATGTATAAAGCTATACCAGGAATTGATAGGAGCTGGGGTACAGTATGAACTAGGTAACTGAACCAGTGCTGCAAGGAAAATATTCGGGGTGGTGGTGATAAAGAGTATATGAAAATAAATTATTCTATTAATAAAATGTGCAATAGTTAGGTTTCCTTAAGTGTATGTGGAAATGAAGATCATTGTCTATAAAGTATTCACAGTTAGAAGCAAAATTAGGAGAGGTGTCCAGTCATTATGCAACCCTTAATGGCAAAGAGTTCTTTTGTTTCCCCCATCCTGGAACCTCATTTTTCTCTCCATTCTTTAGGGGATAGACCTGAGATAAGAAATCCTGAAAGAGAAGTGCACTCTTCATTGTGGGGTTTGTGTCAGACACATTTTAGTTTGTGGGTTCCTGAAATTCAGCACCCACTCACATCCCAGAGTGTGAAATTTTTCAGCTCAAGTAGGATGCATTTTTCCAATTCCTAAGGATTGCCTTTTAAAAGGAATTGCCTTTCAAAAAATTCTCACAACGGCAAACGGTGGCCTGTACCTATGATCTCTCTACCTATGATTCCCTCTACCTATGATCTAGGCCTGTACAAGTTTAGTTTGGCTACTATAGCTGGCAGTACTCAAGAGCTAGCATTTGCTGACCCTAATTAGTGACAACAGCAGGATGTATGTAGCTATATATAGCTTGTCACTAACTATATGCTAGGCACTTTGCTAAGTGTTTTACAAATATCTCATTTAATCCTCATAACAACCCTGTGACACAGGAGGTATTTTATCTCCCTTTTACAAATGCAGAAACAGGCTCTAAAAGGTTAAATACCCTGGCCAACGTCATACAGCCCACAAACCTCAAAGCACAGATTTGAAACCTAAGCATCAGTCTTATCCAAAAGAACAATGTTCTTTTACATTGAGCCATAAAGGCTGTGCCCTAAAATCATACAGACCTGAGTTCCAACTTTAATGCTACCATTTACCACTTATGTTATTTGGTGAGTTATTCAACCTGAGATTCCTGGAGTATGAAACACAGTAACAGTACCATGACAAAATGTTGTTGTGAGCATTAAATAAGCTAACATATATAAAAATTGTCTAGCAGAGTTATTGCGGGATGCTGTAACCAATAATTGCTATATTAAACCCCACCCTTCCTTCTATTTGATTATCTGTTGTAGAGGCAGCCACGAAAAGATAACACTAAGGATAAGCAACAATTGCAGATGACCATGAAGCACAACCTTAATGGTCAATGTGCTCGGTCCCCGAGAGGTCCCAGCACTGAAAAACGAATGCAACAGCACTTCCTCCACGCCCCTGTAGTAGTGAACCCAAAACACTAGACAGAAGAATTTCGAAGCTGGAGCAGGAACAGCAACTACCAGGATAGTCTCCTCACAACCTCCTTGCTTTACTCCGGAAGAGTCACCCACCCCACCTGGCAGCTCCTCCTCCTCGGCTGCTCTGAAGCGGGCCCCGTTCATCAGGGCGTTCGCTTCACCTTGAGTATGGTATGGGGTCCCTCCCCCTCTCCCCGGTTGGCGCTGCAGAGATTTCAGGGCCTGTCACCCTTCCCTGGGCCACAGGCCCGACCCTCTCCGCTGAGAGGAGGCAGGCGGATCCCAGGCACCACTGCTTCAGCTGCCCGACCACCAGGTCCAGGCGGCTCCTCGCCGCCCAGAGCTAAGCCCAAGTCGGGGCTCTTCCAGAAGGCACCGGCCAGCCCCGGGCCTTGCCACGCCGCCGACCAAGCGTTCAGCGGCCCGGGAGCCCCACGCGCGCCCTGCCGATCCCCGGCTGAACGAAGCCCAGGGTGCACTTCCAGAGCCAGGGCCCAGTGGGCCTCGCCGCGCGGAGCCTGAGGGCCCGGATTCTGCAGGCCAGGACTTTCCTCTTCCCCCGGGGGGTTAGTGGGTTGCGGGGGCCCCGGCCCAGAAACAGGGTGAGGCCCGCACTCACGTGCCGGTCTTTGGGGTGGAAGTCGAGTAGTGGTGCCGAACAGACCAGCAACGTCTGCAGCGCAGCCCAAGCCACTTAGGATTCACAAGAACCTTGGGCGGGACGGACAGAGGGGCGGGGCGGGGCGCTCGGGGGCGGGCCAAAGGCTCGCCCCGCCCACTCAGCTGCGCGAGCTGCGCCCACCCCAGCCGCAGCCTTCCCTTTACTCCCTGCAGCGGTTGGGCTGACGCTTCTCGGCTACTGCAGAGGTCAGGTCGCTCGTTTGCCGAAAACTTAAAGTTGACTTTAGGCATTACGAAAAGTTGTTTGGTGCACCAAAATTAATTCCTGAAGAATGACTAAATTAACATATTTGATAAAATTTATACCATATCTGAACCTAGAAAAATTCTCAACATGAAAATAGGGAAATATGGCTAGTGAAATAAGTATGGCTCTTAACCATACTTATTTACAGCGTTTTCAAAGTGCACACTACCATTTTACATCCTTCATTTCATTTAATGCTCACAACAGTCCTGTGACGTGTTTGGTGCCCCATTTATCCCCATTTCGCAAATGAAAACTGCAATGGAATAACATAAGATTTGGAAGCTAAGTAACTGGCCTACTTGCCTAAAGTCACAGATTCTGCTAAATAACTTCAAAGCACCCTGCTTGGCAGCTTACTAGGTTATGCTGTCTGTTAAAAACAAACCACTATGGAAAATATTGCTGCATTTGATTGCTTAATAATTTGGAATTTCTGCCCAAGGAAACAGGGACAAAATCAATAGGCAAACACGTTGGAAAAAATGTTTGTCATAAACCTGACAAAAAACATCTTAAATTCATTTAAACTGGCAAGAAAAAAAAAACATGCAATAGAAAAATGGGCAAAGGATAAATTTTTTACTTACAGAAGAAATGGAAAATGTAACAAAGAAATGTAAACAATCTTTTTTTTTGTTTGGAAACAGAGTCTCATTCTGTCGCCCTGAGTAAAGTGGCAGCATTGTAGCTCACTGTAGCCTCAAACTCCGGGGCTCGGAGCAATCCTCCTGCCTCAGCCTCCCAAGTGGCTGGGGCTACAGGTGTGTGCTACCACACCCAGCTAATTTTTCTTTTCTTTTCTTTTTTCTTTTTTTTGTAGAGATGAGGTCTAGAGGCTGGACCAAAAAAAAAAAAAAGTGAGTTATTAAAGACAAAAGAGATTTCCGACAGCCAAAAGTGCCATGAGGGAAGTATTAAAAAGTGATGTGACAAGGAGGGTCTTAAGGATAGTAGAAGCTTATTTAGACTAGGGATCAGGAAAGGCCTCTCTAGGATGGTATTTGATATGAGATGTGAAAAATAAGAAGGAGCTAGTCACGAAAACATCTGGGGGCAGAGGAATGATAGCAGGGGCAAAGGGAAGAACAAACTTAGCAAATTGCAAGTACAGAAACAAGCCCTTTGTGGCTGAAATATAATGGGGAAGTGGGAGGAGAAGTGTTTTATTTTTGTTTTTACTAAAGGTCATTGGTTTTATTTTAATTTTGTTTTTATAATTAAATGAAGATCCTTAGACACCACTAATTTAATTGCAAATTTCAAATATTCCAGAATATACAGTATCTACACCTAACCTTCAAAACTTTTCTATTAAAATAGGGAGAGAGTAGAGACAGGGGATGGTTTTGCACTTTTAGTATCCAAAAAGCAATCTCTCATTTGAATGTGTAATGCCATAGTTATTCAATGTACTTATTCATTCTCTTCAACTAGAGTCTAAATTCCATTTTACTTTTGTTTCTATTCATTCACCCATTAATTCAACATGTGTTGAATACATATTATGTACCAGCCATAACAAGGTTCTAGAAATAAAAAAAAAAAACCAAATAAGTATGAGACTCGACACCTGCCAGAGAGTTAAATTCATGTTAAAATGAATGAGACTCTCTTAGCTATTCTTCTACCTCATGGGCTGTTCCTTGTTTCCTTTGCTTTTTGATCCTCATATTCCCAGTTTTTAAACTCTGGAGTGTCCCACGGCTTAGTTCTTGGACCTTTTCTTTTTTATCTTCAATCACATCCTTAGTTACCTCATCTAGTCTTACAGCCTTGAATTCCATCTATATTCTTAAGGTTACCAAACTTCCACACCTTCCCTCTGAAACTCCAGATTCTAACTGCCTACATTTCAGTTGGATGTTGTATTAGTTATCACTTGTGCTATAACAGATTACACTAAATTTAGTGGCTTAAGTAGGAACAATCATTTATTGTGTCTCAAAGATTCTGTGGTTTAGGAATTTAGGAGTAGCTTAGCTGGGCGGTTGTGGCTCATCATCTCTCATGATGTTGCATTCAGTTATTAGCAAGCGCTACAGTCATCTGATGGCTCAACAGGGACTGAAGGATTTATGTCCGAGGTGGCTCACTCACACAGCTAGCAAAATGGTATTGTTTGTCAGTGGGAGACCCCAGTTCCTCTCCACATGGGCTTCTCCACAGGGCTGCTTGAGTGACCTCAAAGCATGATTGCTAGCTCCCCGGAAGGCAAACAATCCAAGACACTGAGGCAGAAGCTGCAATGACTTTTCTTTATTATGACTTAGCCTCAGAAGTCACACACCATCATCACTTATTTTGCAGGATTCTGTTGGTCAAACAGACCAGCCTCGATTTAATGTGGGAAGGAATTCCACAAAGGAGTAAATCCAGGAGGTAAGGACCATTGAGGGCCATTTTGGAGGCTGGCTACCACATTTGTCTGATATGCATTCCATAGCTAACATGTACAAATACAGCTTTCTGATCTTCCTCCCCAGAGCTGTTCCTCCCACACTCTTCTCTATCTCAATTAATAGCAAAGCACTCTTCTGGTTGTTTAGGCCAAAACACTTGGAGTCATCTTTGACTCTTTCCTCCCACATCCCATCCCCATCTGGTCTGGTCTGTCAGGGAATCAACTCTGCCTTCAAAATATATCTGTATCTTCTAGCCTAGTCCAAGCCACTATTATTCCTTTCTAGATTATTGTAATATTCTAGTACCTGCTGCCCTTCTTGCTCCCCTGCAGCCTACTCTCAAAACAGTGAGAAGGATCCAATTAAAATGTCATAATCACACAAAGCAAAAATCAAAGTTCTTACAATTGCCTACAAGGTCCTACACTGCTTGACCCCCATCTCCTCTCTGACCTCATCTCTTACCACTCTCCTTCTCCTCACTCTATCTAAGGTAGATTTATTGTTCTTGGACAATGGCATTTGCCTTCCCAATATAGGCTTATGCACTTTCCTTTCCCTCTACATGAAATGCTCTGTCCCCAGATATCCTCATGGCTCACTCCCTCTTCTATGGGTCTTTATTCAAATGTCTCTCTCAATGAGGCCTTCTCTGGCCACTACTCTATTTTAAATTGTTGTGAGTACACAGAAATACACTCTATACCCCTTTCTGATTTATCTTCCTCTTTAGATGTATTAAATAATATGGTATTACCATGTAACATAGTATATCTTTTACTTATTTCTTATTTACTATCTTTCCCCATCCAGAATATATACTACACTAGGAATTGTTCTGTTCACTACATTTAGAAGAATACCAGGCATATTATAGATACACAATAAATATTTGTTGAATGAATGAAGAATTTGGGCCAAGTTCTGTTACAAGTAAAGAATAAAACAGGGTCATCGAGTTTACAGTATAGTAAAGGTGCACATTACCAACTCTTCCTCCAAAATATACTCCCGATTAACAAATAATCACAAAAGTAAAAATGAAAGTATAAAATGTGCTTAGGGCCATAAAAGAAACAAAAGTATATTAGGAAGAATCAAGAGAAGTTTCTTGAAGGAGTAACTTAGGCTAAGAGCTGAAAGATGAATAGAAATTAGCCAGGTAAGGAATAGTGGAGTGTGGTGGGGCCAGTGGGAGGGTATCAAGAGAGTGGAATGGGAAGGATTCCCGACACAGAGAATATCATGTAGGGAGACCTGAGGCTTACTGGAGGAAAGAAAAGATGAAAAGATAGTTTGGTTGAAACCTATTCAGAGAGAGAATGTAGGGGGTGGAAGGTGGGGAGGGAGGAGAGGGCATTTATAAAGAATTAAAGCAGGGGAATAAAGTGTTCTATCTTTTAAAGAAATCCCATTTCACCAATAATAGGGCAAAATCACATCAGAAGCCTCACGATGTGAAGCCATGGAGAGTGTATGTCACTTAGTGTTCCTGCCAAAAATGCATGACCTGAATTGAATCACAAGAATCATAAGGAAACAATCAATGAAATCCAAATTGAGGGACAAACCATAAACCATTGATTCTTAATCATGGCAACTGGGGTAGGGATGCCAGATAAAATATAGGATGCCCAGTCAAATTTGAATTTCAGAGAAATAGCAAATAATTTTTCAGTATAAGTGTGCCGCATGGAATATATTACACTAAAAAATTATTTGTTGTTTATCTGAAATTAAAATTTTACTGGGTGTCCTCTATTTATATTTGTGAAATCTGATAACTCTACTCCCAGGGACATGTGGCTATGTTGGAGATACGTGGGTTTTCACAACTGGGTGAGGGTGCTCCTGGTATTTAAAAGATAGAGGCAAGAGATATTGCTAAACATCCTACAAATCACAAGACAGCCTCTCACAACAAAGAATTATCCAGCCCAAAATTTCAGTAGTTCCAAGGCTGAGAAACCTTGCTATAAATCAATGGGACTACACATTTAAAAAAACTGACGTCATGAAAGACAAAGGCTGAGGAAATATTACAGATTTAAAGAAACCAAAGAAACATGACAATTAAATGCAACATATTATCAGGATTTGATCTTGAATTAAGGAAAAAATAGTTGGTGTAAAGAACAGCATTAGGAAATCAACAAAATTTGTATATTGAATAATAGTATCCTATCAATTTCAATTTCCTGAATTTGATACTGAGACTAAATAAGAGAATGTCTCCAAGAGTGAAAAGTCATGATATTTGTAATCTACTCTCAAAAGGTTCAACAACAGAAAATAATAATAGGAATATAATATGCATATTGTATGTAATACATATGAAGAAAGATAAAGAAAATGTG